TAAGTTGTTTTTAATTTTTTTTAAAGTAATGGTTGTTCATGGAATGTCTCTTTTACTTAGGGTTTGACCGGGAAGCCATTTACACCGGGGAGCTGTTTTTTTTCAGAGGAACTATTTTTCTCAAGAAATCTATTTTCAACAAGCCCTAAAGATCACCATTTTCGTGCAACGTATGCATAGAGGTCTTGAAGTGATTTCCTGGAGGAATCGAGTCCTCCACGTGTCGATACCTATACCTCCGCATTTGACGAAGAACCTGGAACTATCTACCTCGATTCTAAGCTAGAACCTGCAACTTCCATTTGCAGCTTCCCTCTCCAAGTCAAATGGATGGCTACTGTAATCTAACGTTTTCGTTGGAATCTAGGCTTCTATAGAGTTTCAATTTAACTTTTATTACCTTTTTTTTATGAAATCTATTTTACGATCAATTACCATAATTATTTATTTTTACTTACATACACATTTAAAATTTCTCATTCTTGAGGTGATGGTGGAATAATCAACTTTTGATTTGCCGTATTTATTATAGATTTATCTTTAATTCACTTTTGGTACCGCAATTTAAAAAAAAAATTATCTTTTATTAATCATAATCATTAATTTGAACTGAGGTCAAGGTTGGACAATATGTTCTAAATTTGAGATTATTGGGTAAGTACTTATAACGCCAAAAATTGATCAATTTTTCATCTGGGTTATATTACTCATGAACTTGAAGATTTCAGTTATATCTCCTTTATCCCTTCAACGTTTCCTTTGATTTCATACAGTTTAAATTTGATTTCACTAATTTTATTTTCTGGCAGTAGCTGACCATATAATATTATAATTTAAATTAATTTTCTGGAAACTTAAATCCTTCATAGTTTTATTTCAAATTGATGATATGATCAGCGACTGTTAATGAACTTATACGACAACTATAATGAGGTACATTGTAGTATTATTATTTTTTTTTTGAGCTTGATTAATCTGATGAAAGTTAACCTCCTTTTATTGATTTGATTAGGAGTGCTTTACCAGCAATAATTGATTTTATGCTTAAAAGTTATTCAGTACTTATTTTTGACCTCACACATTATTGGTTTACCTATGTCAGGATTTGGTTGAATTATGTGCCTTATTTCCTTTTCAGAGTTATCAATTACCGTCTGCAGATTATTTTTTTTTAGGTGTGTTTCTGAATTTTCACCCTTTTCGCCCATATTTTATGTAATTTTATTATTTATTTTTTCAAATTCAGTGCCGTCTTTGTTATTCTGTACTTATTAAACTATCAACCCACCCCTAATAATTATTTGCTGAGCATGGACCTCTTGTTAATTCATTAACAAAAGAGGTTACAAAAAATAGACCTGTTAGAGTAATCTGCAGTACAAGTCAGGTAGCATATGAAGTAATATGTAACTCCAAGAAAATTAAGAATATTCCTGACCTATCCCATTTGTCAATCAGCAATGACAAAACTCCCCAGCAAATTCAGAAGTATCGTAAACTTAAACAAGAGATGGATGAACGCACATCTGCCGGGGAGCAAAATCTGAAAATTATTTGTAAAAATAGCGTTCCTAAGATTATTATAAACCACAGACCAGCGGTCGTATTTTCGAATGTTTTCGTATACGAAATTTCATACGATTTCGAAGGCTCTCCATTTAATTTACATTGCTGTCAGTCAAATTTCGTGTACGAATTGTACTCGAATGGTTTCGAAAATCGCACCCAGATCGTCATAATTTAAACTAACAGGCTTGTCTAACAAGATAATTACAGTTACCTACCAAAATACTAAGAGCCAAAATAGCAAAACACATGAATTTTTCAAGTCTGTGTCAGCTGATAGCAATCACTGAGACATGGCTTCAAGATGGGGTATATAGCCATGAACTTTTCAACGACAACTAGGTATGTGGTTTACAGGAAGGACCGTAACTTAGACATAATGAATGTGACGAGAGGAGGAGGTGTCCTACTTGGTGTAAGACATATTACTGCTTCAAAAATTGACTTGAGTATTATTGAGGATCTGATTCCCAAAATTGACATTTTAGGATGTAAGCTTCATTTTATTAACTATTCCATGTATGTCTTTGTAATTTACATGCAACCCAACTTACTTTTAAATCATTATCAGAGCTTATTTGATTGTTTCACCACTTTTGAGTCTGTACAAAATAATAAAGTCTTGGACTTCAATATCACCTCCCACAATAAACCTGCTATTTAATAGATTTTTTAACAGTTGCAGATTTCAACCAATTTGATTCTCTTCCTAATTAATATGGAAACATACTAGATCTCGTCATTACAAATATTGATTGTGCAGTTACTAGAGAGAGTATTTCTCTGGTTCCAGAAGATCTTGCTCACCCCACACTCTCTATCGAAATTGACAATTCTAATTCAAATAAGAATGATGGTGGATTTCGTGGGTTATAGGACGGGACAAACAAGAAACTACCAGATGTGTGGCAACGTTTCGGTTTTAATTAAACCTTTTTCAAGCCCTAGAAATAAAGATAGGCACTTTAATATGGTTTTTAAATATGAAATATGTGGGATGCTTACTCAATCTCCTGTTTCGTAAGTCCGTTAGGGATGGAACAAAGCACCTTCGTCATTGGAAAGCAGTGAATTATTTTGTTAAATAAGTATTTTTGAATAATTTTTGTATAATTTTATAATTCGTACTTAGAGGTTATGTCATTCATCTGTCAATGATGGGCTTTCAATTATTTCAGTAGTGCCATATGTTAGGTGTGTTCACTTGTTTTCCCCTAACCGACCATTGAACATCGTACTGTTCGGAGAGAGAGTAGTACCTATAACAAATGGAGTGGTGTTGTAAATAAATAAAATTAAAATATTGATACATTAAAGACAATACAGAAGTTAAAACACAGCACACTTACACTTACACTTGGACCTAAAATTATTTTACAACTTTTCAAAATAAGGAACTTAAATTAATTATCACAGCTCACAACTAAAAGGACTAGATAAGCGTAGGTATACAGAAAATATAAGGAACACCGAGAAAATTTCAAACCAATTGCAAATTACCTAAGCAATAAAAAACAGAGAAAAGGAGGAAAAAAAAAAAAAAATATATCAAAAAAAACACAAAAAAAACAAGATCAACAATATACCAAAATATTCCTATCAGCCACAGTTAAGAAACTTTTGTTTAGCTAATCAGGGTTTCTGACCTTTTTATAAATATTCAGAATGTTATTGTATATTCCGCTTAACTTATCTGTGGTGTCAGTTTTAATGTTAACCGTGTCATTTAAACTTATGTGTATCATCTCACTTACTTTTCTCCTCCTTCAAATAAGAACTACAACTTTAATAAAGCTAACTATCCGCTTGTGTATTAATTGCTTCATGGAACTCCTTATCAGTTGAAGAACAAGATCTAAACACATTTATCAATTTATTTTACACAACTTTTTACAATATATTTTACCAAACAGTTCCCCTACATCAACATTAATTGTTAATATATTAGAAGATACGATAAGTACCTATGTACATACGAAAATGTTGCAAAACTTTCCACTTTGGAGCTGATACTCTGATATGTCCTAAAAGGTTGTTAGTCAGCGTTGGTGTAAAGTGAATTTATGACTTCGTGTACCCTTCTGCGCGACACCTAATAAAACGCCCTTAACCAGACTAATTGAACGCCTAACTTATCCCTTAGCGGGCACGGTGCCGAAAAGGGACCTCCCGGTAACGTAATTTATCAAAATCCGATTTTACTTTGCCCCGTTTGGATAATGGATTTTGAAAGTTATGGTATTTATGTTTTTTAAAATTAACACTAAATCATTTCACCACAGCCCAATCGAATAAGCTTCAAATAGCAATTACATGAAACTAAATGGAGGATTTGCCACCACGTTTATTTAAAATCCAACCAGCCGACTCGTTGGGTATACATCAATCGCATTAAATTAGCGGTAGACATGCAATTAAATGGGGTTTCCACATCTATTATTATCCAAACAATTTATGGCGTTTATTGCACTAATTTTCATTCATTTCAATCATAAGTTTCATCATTAGTTTTGCCCTAATTTGTAAGTCATATACTTGTTTTTTTACGCAACTCATTAGGATATGACAAATGTTATTTATGCTGAAATTATTCCCAACTAATACGGATACGATTCATATTTCATTATTTCATATGCACAACGATTGTGCCCCAATTAGTTTTGGGTTGCATTGTACGCATATCCCGGCTTGCTGTTCAAAAGAGGGAGGTAAAATGTACGCGTACCTCCCCCGGGAACATACTGACATTAACAAAATGGAGGAATATTAAGTGATAATGGGTTAATATATTCCCGATAGCCGGCACTGCTGGTAGATTCCTAACTAAGATAAACCGGATTCCATTTATGTATTCTGGTATTTTCATTGGTTAAATATTCGATTCGATTTGCTTCGTATGATTTAGTGGTAGTGGAGCTGGAAGCTTGGGACTTGATTCATTTTATGTTCCTATAAAACTAACGCTAGCTTTCCATACAACCACGTAACCAATAAGATTCCAGCATTATTCGAAGCAGTTTTTTGTGAGGGCTGCTGAGTAGTTTTTTGTACCAAGAAACTTTTCATAATCACGGGCAATTCCATTCCATCAGAAAGATTCTCTTGTGATATTGGTTGAAAAAGTGCATATTCACATAAAATTATAAACCATCTAATTGAGGGTTTTTTCTGTTCATACTTTGCTACAGCTACAAGTTTCCTATCTAAAATAATGCGTTGTATTCCGTTCATATGTTTTCAACAAGTTTCCATTCTGAAGACATGCTAACATAATCTACGAAATGACTAACCAGTATAATTGGTTCAAGCAATGCTCCGTCATCAGAAATTAATTATATAGGTACCTTTCATACAACTTCTTTATTCTGGTATTTACAGCATTTTACTTCTGTTGTATTAATGTTCCACTAACGAAATTCTCTATATTGTTACAGGTTATGGAAGTATTGCGCCCAAAACATCCCTAGGGAAAGCCGTGACCATGGGCTATGCTATGTTAGGTAAGAATCAAGAAGATTCTCAACAAATTACGTTATAGTTTGATATAAGTATTTACTCGTTTTGATTATTGAGTAAACAAAAATAAATCTGCTTATTGCTAACTAACAACCACGTAATACCAGCAACAAAAAACAACTATTCTCTAATCTCTCTCGCATTACCTAAAACTCATTATTATAATTCCCAGGGATCCCTCTAACGTTGCTGTACCTCTCGAGCGTCGGCTCTATTTTGAGCAGAGTGGCAAGGGGCGTTTTTTCTAGAGCTCTATGCTGTTGTCTTTGCTCTAACTGCGGCTATTGTTGTTACGACGAGAAGAGAATGGCCGAGAAGGAGAGAAGACTTAAAAGAAAACGGCAACAGGTAAGAACCTTAAAGTGAATTAATAACATTCTTGTCTTTGACTCGACCATAAATGAAGTTATTTAACTTCTTCAAGATATTTGTAGGAATTAGTCATAGACAAATATGGCGCCACTATACTACATCAGCCATACATTTTTATTCCAGAGCTTCGGGCTCAATTAAACAATAACGACATCAACTCTTTTTTTTCTCTAGCAGGAACTTCAGCAACAAATAAGTGTCCAAGAACCTTTCTACGTCCGCTCAAATTCAAGCTACAGCAACAACATCCATTCCCCCTGTAGAGATAGTTCCGGCAAAGAAATTGACAGTTTGAGCGGTACCGACAACGAGTCAAAAGGGTCTATGCACGGCTGGAGCATCTTAGCTCCAATTCTGCTCTGTCTAGTGATGATGTTCATTTACATTTGCATTGGCACGTTTGTGTTGTACAAATTGGAAAATTGGTCACTGCTGGATGGTTTTTATTTTTGTTTTATGAGCCTGACAACCATTGGATTCGGCAACATGGTACCAGGCTCGGATCCCTTTCCTGATTACGACTCCAGCACGACCCTGTGGTTCTGCTCAATTTATATTATGTCCGGTATGGCGCTGACGGCCATGTCGTTTAATGTTGTTCATGATGAAATTGTACATAGGTAAGGTAGTTGTATATCGATTCATTCTATTGTGAAATTTATAATCCTATGATTTAGCTTTTATGCAATCCAGTAATGTTTCAGGTTAAAACACCAAGAAAGATTGTCAGTCCCCAAGCTCAACTCTGCCAGTTTTTCGGACGACCTCAACATCAACGACCCTTATAATTTAACGTCATGACAATTTAACCCACAGAAAAATGCGAATTTTTATCATAGAAATCTCACGGAAGAAACACTTCTTAGTACTGGAACACCTACATCTATTATAGGTAATAGACTTCTATTTTTTGCTACATAATGAGTCATCATCCTTCTAGAAACTTGAAGTTTTGAAAATGTTGACGTAACATTTCTGATACAGGTTTCGGTTTTGTCGTTTTTTCGCAATGTCATCATCTTTTTCTTTACTTTTTATGATCAGGAAAACTAATATTTGATAGAAAAAATAAGTATATCTTGGTCTGCGCCATATTTCCTATTAACCTGTCCTTACTATTTCTAACTTGCCAAATACTTAAGTGAGAACAATCATTGATGCTTTCGATGCGTTGTCGTGTTTTAAGAAATATGCACTAATGCTCCAGGAAATTGGTAATTTAGGCGAGAATAAATCCCGGGCTTAGGTTTTATGACTGATATCTATGTTTTAAGGCGTGCTGAATCCGAATTCCAACTTTGCCGCGCGCTATCGTGGTCGCCTCTTATTTAATATAAAGTAAATTTTATTAAATATTGTTCGGGGCAGTACCTACTTCATGTTTTTAGGTGTTCTGAATAAATATTAAAAATAAGAAGCCAATACTGCCACAACCGCCGGTAGTTTTGGTAGGTGAAGGAGGAAATTATTGGGAAAATTAACAACACTTAATACATAAAAAAACTGATTGTATTGTATTTGAATCATTTGCTAGATGATCGTAGGAGCGCATACCGTCCGACTATTTATCAGAACATCTACGTTTAACAGAGTGTGAGGATGTAGCTGTATTTTCAAGCTGGTGGACCTGAGTCGAGGGTTCTGGTAAGTATTCATTCGTGGATGTTATGGTGAGCGTTTCATCATCATCTGCAACAGAAATGATTCTGAGGTGAAATGATTGCGAAGAAGAGGGAATACTGCTCAAAACGAATGTTAATCAAGTGATGAATAGTGAAGGAATGCATACTGAGAGACTGTGTAGAAGAATAACTGCCTTTACTAGGCCTCTCTTAGAGCTGCTTGGCCTGGGTGGAGGGTCCTGGTTCTGGTGAGCATTTGTGATTGGAGTCCCGCATAAAATCGGAAAGTTTCGTGGTTGGAAAAGCGAGCAGAGATGATAGAAAGTTGAAATGGTTACAAAAAGAAAGAACACTCAGAAGAACTATTCACATAGGATCATATTAACTTCATACTTCCATGTTTTCTTACCTCCACTGTTCACGGTTTCAGGAGTGATCTCAACGTTGTCAGTCTCAAGCCCCTCCTGCTCTGCCTCTTCCAGCAAATCAACACGATCTGCATTGTGTGCAGAGAAGCCCTAAACGTTTTGCACCCACATACGATATTTTGGCGAGTAGCTCTAGCGGTGCTGGTGGGAGATTCGTCAAAATTGGGAATAGTCTAACTTTCCAACTTTCTTCAATCCCCATTGGGTGAGTTCTCATGGATTTCCCAGCCATGCTTGCACTTGGAGATACGTCCGAAATATATAGTGCTGTGCTGCAGCACTCGTTGGAGGGAGCATTGCCATGTTAGTTACTTTTGTACGCTGCTGTAACATACTGTCTGTATCTCAATCTATCCAATGTGGTGCTGTAAGGGGAGGATCCATATAAAGAAATGATAAAGTTTCCACCCGCATCAATCAGTGCATTCTTGTCGGCATCGGGATCATAGCAAAACCTCCATCTTTTTTAGGAGCTTAGGATCCTTTCGCAAGGTTTTGAAACATTTCATTTCCCCTTGATTATAAAACGAAGAGTTGGAATCGCACCCACTGATGGCGTGAAGAAGGAGTATAAAACCTGCAAATTTCTCATCCACGGCGGTGGATGGTTGGTACAAGGTGGATGGCCTCGCTCCTCTTCCAGGTTTAATAAAGTATATGTTTTCGGAAGTTTTCTTTCCGATCATGATCACAAGAAGATCAACATCTTCGTCAACCACTGTCACACTTTTGTTTTGCGAAGCTAAGGACTGAGCAGTGTCTACAATCAGGATGTCAGCTCTTCCACTGCCTGGTAGGTTGTAATGTTGGCTTGGGCAAACTTATTCCTGAGGTAGAATATAAATTGTTCTTTATTTTTGGAGTTGCTGAGAAAACTCTCTTGTGAACACCTGGGAGAGTTGTCGTTATGGACAATGACTTCGACTGAATGCTTTTCGCATCCGCTCCATGTACTTCGTACTAAGATGATCATCATCTGGGTAGCCATCGAATACCATTACGGCATTAGACTTGTACTTGCAATTAACGTAATGAATGCAGCTGCAACTGATATCACAGAAGGCACTTAAGCTTGATGGCCATACAACTCGGTGTAACAAGAATCCATCATCTTCACATTCAGTCTTTCATGATCCAAGGTAGAGATGTTCGCCATCGGTCGGAAAGCCTTGTATAAGGCTGTTTTGGTTCCCCTTCTCATCCTCATATCATCAAATAGAGCCAAAGGGTATGGATAGAGTTCGTATGTTAAGACATTTTGCAACTCCTCCTCAGACTGCTTTGCAACGCAGATTCTTTGGAAGAGAGTCAAAGGTTTTAGGGGAACAGGCCGGTCATCAATTACAAGTGCAGTGCTGACAACTGCACTCGATCACTTTTCTTGTATTTGACAGTCCCAAATTCCCAAGTCCCAATCCTCTGCGTTAACGTTCTCCATTCTTTTGACGTCATGTTCTTTAGCCGTGTAGCAAGTAATTGTTTTTGGATCTTCAATGTACAGGGGTCATCGATGGATGTTATATTTTTAGAGAGCAAGAAAGGTGGATGCTTGCGAAACCATTCTAACACCTTCTTCATGTCCTCATCGTCTCGACTTGCTGTCAACATGTTGCTCCGTCGTACCAAAGTTTATGCCGCATAACGTTTCGACCACATCGCACACTTCTTGGCAAGCAGCCATCCCTTGTGTCCACCTGGATAATATGGCATCGCTGACTCCTCGGCCTCTAGTCAGTCCTCCGTCTGTCTTCATCTGCTTCATCAGAAACTGTTCGATTGTCATGTCACTCCACGTGCCGCACCACAAACATGTCACTCCTCGTCTGATGGTAAAGCCACCTTTCGACGTGAAAGATGCTAATTTATCTGGTGGCATCATTTTCTGTAGCCCTTGCATGTCTTGCAGATATAAGTGTGCACATTTGGCATACAAGAAATGGCGTGAGTGTACGGGGTCATGTTGCTTCTAGGTGTAAATGCCAGTCTCCCAATCTTTCTGACTGAATGCACCTCATCATAAGTGTCACCATTTCCAGGTACTGAGTCCACAATTTGGCCGTTGGCCCAAGACTACCCAAACGGTTTATCTCATCCTCGAATTTTTGTGCCACTTCTGTTGTACACTCCAGATTGGTGTTCAAGAGTTGCCTGAGGCTGCTTTCATACGGTAGCCGCTGTAAGTCTTCTCTAGTTTCGAACGAAAAAGTGATATCCTTCATTATGAGCTTAGACAGGACAGTGTGTGCCATAATATCAGCACGTACTGCTCTAGCGTACGCATGGCCAGTCATTATTTTAATGGTGCTGTTAACAGCAAACACATTAAAAAGCTCTGCGATACCACTGCCATCCATAAGGTACCCGATTGCCCCTAGGAAAGACATCAATAGGTGAAATCCTCCAAGAGGAACCACAACGCCTGCCAGTTCAGGATCACCAGCTTGACTTGCCACAATCTCTCTGGCTTCGAATACAGTGGCTGATCAACACGGTTTGCTGCCCAAATGCCCTGGTCTTCTCAACAGCATTCAACAATGCGGTACCTAATTATATATGGTGTCATAATCGCTGGGGGCGGCATTAATAAATGGTAGACAGGAAACGAGTGTTGTTTCGTATAGTGGGAGAGATTTTGTAACCTCTTGCATAGATCCATTCCATCCTCGAAGTCCACAGAGCTCCTTACATTTATACAAGAGCCAAAACATATGAGGCGTTGTAGGAATAATTGATTTGGATTATGTGACATGGGGATACATTTCAGTGGGTGTGTAAGCTGACTGCGCCTACCCTTGCAACCTCTTCTGCTTCAGGAATTCGTATAATGCGATCTATCTCCTGACTACGAGCCACTACTGATTTAGGCGTCACACACACGATCTCATCCAATGAATGAAATGTGTTGCGTCCATCTAACGTTTGTACGTTAAAGTCTGCATTGTCGAATACTATTTGGGAAAGGGCTTGCTTGTTTAGCACCATCGGAGGCTGCATTATGGCTGATATTTCGATTTTTTTTGCTTCAGAAGCCCAATGTTGACAGCACATCGATCAAAATCCGCGGGATATACTTCTTGAATATAAATACAGCCAAACTGACTTGTAGCGAAGACAAAAACGAATGTGGCCTAACAGCAGCCATTAGAAAATGTGCAATTGCTGTCGCTTTCCTGGACCACCTATCAAAACAACTCCGTTTTTTGTGTAGAATAACAGCCTCAATAAACACTCTGAGAGACTCTGGAATTAGGTCTTCTGCTCCTTCCAAAATATCAGGTGGGAAAGGATACCGAGTGGTGTTGTGAACTTGCCCACGTATATCTTCTGCGATTATAGCAGCTGCTGTTTCCACAATCCGAAGTCTCTCTTCTTCTTCAGATCCTCTCTTTTGCCGGTATCATGCATCTGTAAGGATCGTGTGGCCGGTGTTTTCAAAGCAAACAACGTAGTGGGTACTTGATGATACAAATATGTCATTTCCATATTTTTTAATCAGTCGAACTCTTATGGTCTTGGGATGTGGTATGGTATCGCTTTCAACTTTGCTGATGAGCTCGTCTATCGAAAATTGACACTCTTCATCATTGTTTTCAAAAAATGTGTAAATTGATGGCATAACATGATCAACATCGCTACGAGGTTTGCCAGCCAGTTGAGATGGATTTAAGGTATTCAAGTGTTATACCTTCTTTAAGCACGATCTATGATACTGGCATTAGCTGCAGGTAAGTCACACACAGGCAGAATTCGT